TATGTGATGTAGGGGGGAAAAGATCAGTAAGATTAAATATTCACATATGACTAATTTGAATCAGTTTACTAGGAATTTTCAGAAAAATTGCAAAACATTAAGATTTACATGTAGCTAGGAGAAATTCTTGGGAACTAAAAGCCCTCTCAAAATAAATAAAAAACTCATTATTGTGTGGTCACTTCATTGTTATACTTTTAGGCTGTAATGAACATAATGTGAACTGACTTTTACGCTCTAAAATCCTGTTTTTAAATCATATTATATTTTTTTGTGCTGTTGAGATAAAAATGTTACTAAATTTCCTTTCCAGCTTTAGTGCTATATTTAGTTGAGAAATCATTTGTCAGATAGTGTTGAATGGCCTTTCATGAAAGCTCATCAAGCTCTCATTCAAGAAAATTATGGGTAATGATATTAATAAATTTGTCACATAAATACAGCATACATATTTCAACTTACCAGCTTTAATGAATACTGGCTTGTTATCTTCAAAACATATTTATAGTTGCTTACACAACAAATTTCTGATGTTTTAAGTTTAATTGTTTCACAAACCAATTAACTTAAAATATTTTTCCAAAGATTTTGAAAGAAGTTTGGAAGCTTAAGAATACCTCTCCTTTAGCCCTTGTGTGAGTGCAAATTAATTAATATTAAGTATAAGCATGTAGCAGCAAAAATGGTGCTGTTGAGTGAATGGTAAGTGGGTCTTGAATCAGCAAAATTGGCTGATCCAAGACAGCATGTGTGAATAATGAAGCTGCTTATTCCTCATCACATAATGCCAACTGTTGCATTATCAGTGACAGAGTATGAGAATATAGTAATAACATGAGGTATGAGTAATTGTGGATTAATATTAACAAATATTTACATTCTTCGGATAAAATCAGAACTGTTTCATTGCTTGTATTTTTCCAGTCTTCCTGGATATGTATCAAAATCAATGACCCCTCACATGGCCATATGCTGCTTAGTTTCCCCTGAATTTGGATTTATTCAAATTAGTAATGAACATTTCTAATTCTAATCTGTCCTATCTTCCCTTTCTTAATAGTAAGTAGGAGTATTTCTTGTGTTGTTTTGGTGGATAATTTTTCTGTTTTGCTTTTCTTAGTATGTACTAAATTTTTCTTGTTTTTTTATTATTATTATTATTATTATTATTATTATTATTATTATTATTATTATTATTATATGAACACAATATCTTATTTAATATTCAAAAGATAACAATATTTAAATGTATAAATGTTTAAGAAAATAACTTATAAGAACTATTGTATTCTTGTTATAAGTTGAGGATAGAAAAAAGAAGAAAGGGAGAATTTATGAAGAAAGGGAGAATAGAAATATTAGTGCTATATCCACTTTGTCATCAATAAATGAAATAAAATTTCATAAATAATGCGCATAGACTTCTGAAGATGAGATTAGTTATTTCCATCCCTGAATCTATCGTATTGAAACAATTGAACACATCAAACCCCTTTACTGCTGAATAAATCGTATTCTACCATAAACAATATTTGAAAAAATCTCAACAATAATAACAATAATTAGTAATAACTATAATAATAACAATATTATTATTATTTATCTCATAAATACAGCATAAGCCGTGCATGACAAGTCAGGATATATACAGTGTTTTTTCAAAACACAAAATACAATATAGAAATGGAAAATAAATTCAGATTTAGTACTAAAAATAATACAGAAAATTTTGATGTAATTAGTAATGGAAAATTATAAAATATAATACAATACAGTGCATATTAATTTTATAAGTGGCAATGTAAGAAGACTCAAATGAAAAACAATAATAATAATAATAAAAAAGAAAAATACAAACATTACATATATACATTAAATACCAATGCAGCTTTTTTTCTGTAATGAAATGTATTCTTCAAAGACAGATCTTTAATATTTTTTTGAAAATTAAAGTGTTAATGTAATAATACATGACAAAAAAAAAAAAAATCTCAAAAACAGTTCCAAATTCTTTTTCTATATTAACCCCCCTAATAGAGTGATGTCCTCAGGTAAAGTGTGCGCAGGCCCCATTTTAAATGAAACCCCGACATTTTTTGAAAATTGCAAAAAATTAATAATGCAAAACTACAATGTTGATGATAGAGATTTTTTCCTTCAAGAAATCTATTGTAAAAAATTAAACCTGTAAATACTATACTTTTAAAAAAATATTGTTAGTTTTCATGTAATTTTTACTTGCAGTAAACGTTAAAAAAATGTTATTAAAAAATTTTCCTTCAATTATTTTTACACAAATAGAATAAAGTAAACTTAAATGGTGCAGGTGTAATTTTCATTGAACTCGGAGTTTTCAAAAATTGCAAAAGTTACAAATAATGTGAGAGGGTGTGAGCTATTGTAGCACCATTAGTTTGTGATAAATTAATGATTTAATGAATTTTGATGTAAAAATTGTTTAACAAATGTGAACTTTCCCAAGAAACTTTCAGTAATTTACATTTCAGTTACAACTCTGTCATTTTCCTCATACAGGCATTACATTTAGCCAAAT